TTGTAGTTACTATCCATAATGTTCTTGTACCTTTCCTGAACAGAAGACTTCCATTTTTAAGAGACCAACTTTCCTTAGTACCATATTCTTGGTGTCAAGGAAGTTGTACTCAGGACGCAGAGAACTTTCTAACTATAAGCAACCATTGAATTTGGCTGTTCTCTTCAGTGCTACTATGAAGCTGGGGTTAAAAAAACAAAACAAAACAACAATTATTTCTATTCCAGTAGTTCCCTAGACCCAAACCAGGACTGGGGCTGCACTGTATAAGCAGAGGACAACCCTTACCCCAAAGGTGGTATAATATAAAAGATAAAAGCAACAGTTAAAAATAATTTATTCTCAATTTTCTCTTTGTAGAACAGACTCGCTTCCCATACGTCCAACCTGCCTGTCAAACATCTCTTAAAGTCCTTGGTCTTCCCAAGCACTCCTCTTCCTTTCTCACAACCTCCCCATAAGTTACACACGCAGCCACATCCCGTGAAACACAAAATACAAAGCAAAAACACACCCAAATAAGATGGCTCTTGTAAGGTTCCCCTTTGAAGAGAGATTTCTATGCCAATCTCAGAGTGGAGACAATTGGCCTGCTCCCTGGTGTCTTAGATATTCCAGTTTCTGACAGCGTCCCTTCCCTGCCGCAGGGGACAAGAGGATGTCAAGTTCCACACTCTTTAGGTGAAAAAGGAGTTCTCACTCCTTGTACAGGTTTGAACTTTGTATGTATCTCTTGCTACTCAAGCTCCACTAGCACTGAGTAAAAAAAGAATATATATATTCATATTAACATCAGACAACACCTACATTCATCACACAGCCACATTTTAAAGTGGTCTGAACTGCAGTTGTGGTCCGAGACTTTTCTCTTGCCGTACTTCACCTACACAGCTTCAAAAAAATATAATTAGGGTAGCTAGCTTGCCAACAACCTGCTTTAATAATCACATCTCATTTTACAACTTAAACCTCTCATTTTTCTTTCTTAAGAACTTATCACAATAGCAAAACTAAAATATGAGGAAGGAGAGATGTAAACAATGCATTCCTAAGTGCAAGCCCCAAAAGGCTTCCATCAAGATACCACCACAGGTTTAACACCATGCTTTTCTCCACAATGGAGGGAGGAAAATAAACTTTCTGATAAGTAGGCTACAGTTTTAATGCACGATGCAGATGCATCAAAGTAACAGTGGTAATTAACAGTAGAAGCACTGTCTTCAAATCTTCCACCATTGCCAATGCAAATCAATCCTTTAATTCTTTGTGCTAGCTTCTTGCATGGCAGATGAGAAGATGGGGTGAAGTAGTTTCTGCAGTCACTACCTACCCCAGTGCCCAGCGTGAGAAGAGGGGCAATGCTTCAGCTCTGCCCCCAATCCACCAGGCAGCAAAGCTGCAACAGCACACTGGCACATACATTCTGTGCCAGGTAGAGGTGCTGGTGAAAAGAGTCTGTCTCCCATAGAGCAAGAGGAAATATGGAGGCAGATTCTGACTTGAGTCACAACAATCCACTTAGCCCCGGCCCTGTTCGCACCAGCTCTCATTGTCCATACATAGAACTTACTACAAACCACCATTTAGCAATGAGAGCTGGTGCGAAAGTGTCTCTTCAAACAACGGAACCCCCAATTTGAAATACAGGCATTTCCAAGGAAACTGCCTTTGATTAGTTGTTCAGTGTACTGTTGCTTTGATATTGCTCCCAGCCAAACAGCATAACAGCAATGGAAAAACTAATTCCTCTACACAGGTTAGAGAACCTGAAATTATGACCTCAAAACAGGAAGTGAAGGACCAGGTACAAACAGTCCAAGTAACAGTTCAGAGACTCCAGTTGGCAATGTGGAATTAGATTAGCGCAGCATCTCCTAAACTATGGGCTGCGGTCCGGCAGCACCAGCCTTAGGCCGATTTGGGCCCCGCGCCCCTGAACCCGTAAGTGCCGGCGAATTACAGAGCCAGGGGCCCTGCTCCACCGATATGTGGAGCTGGGTCTCCCTCCCGGCTCTACCTGGAGTGGATGCGGGAGCGCGTGCGGGGTTCCCCCCTCCCCCCGCGCGGCCCCCCACCCCCCCCCCC